CCTGAAAAAGCAGATAAAAAAAGAAAAAAATTGCTTCTGTTGGAAAAAGGTTTGCCCTATCTGGAGGTTATTGGGGCTCCTCCGAAAATCTCATGCAAAAATTTTGAAAATTAGTGAAAGTTGGACATGGTAAAAACGAGTGATTGTAATCGGCAAATATCTTGTCATTTTTACAACGAAACACAAGGGAGTTAAGCAGCTGGAAAGAGGAAAAATTCTGCATCGGATGCTTTTTGAAGTGTTTGTTTGTCTTCATTCTAGCGTGCTTACCAATAGATCGAAAAAACTGACAAAACTTTTGCACCAAGAGTGGGTTTATAATTATGTCCAGCACTGTAGCTCAGCTTTTTGAAAGAGACATGTATATATACTCAGCCTCAAATGCTGATGCTAATATACTTGCGTCAAATTCCTAATCATTGAGAAAAAATTGAATTTGATGTCCTTTCAACATCAACTTTCCTGGGTAGATTTTCACTTACAGACAGTTTTCCCATGTTGAATAGCATGTTGATTTCGCACAGCTGCAGATAGAAACGGCATATTTGAAATTAGCCTGTCAAGATAGCTCAGAATATATATTTCACTTTCTGATAGTCGAGCTATGTTAGGAAGAAAGAAAAGAAATACAAAGAAATTACAAAGAAAGTTTTTTTCGTTTGGAGTTCATGCTTACCACTATACATTAATTGCGGACAGTCGCATTCTAGTCGTATAAATGAATGATTCCTATAAAATGTTTAATTTAGGTGGCTCTTTCTTACTATATCTACACGCGCTGATATTAGATCACTAGCTGGCTTACCCGGTTCCGCCCGGCCCTGTCAAAACATTACGATAAAGGTCTCGTCCCTACCCCTGTACAATGTTTCCTTGTGCCTCCTCTTCATGCTATTTCCCTATCTCTACTATGTTCATAATCGGCATGCTCACTTACTTTCCTGCGCCAACTCACAGCCCGTAGCTCAAACATTGCCCGAAATCGATAAAATCGATAAAGGTCGATATATCCAAAATCTAATATTGTAATCGTAATCAGCATGCTCACTTACCCCTGTGCCAACTCCCAGCTCCGTAGCCTGAGGCTCTCGCCAGAGTGCCGAAGTTATGCCAGCGCTACGCTAGCATTTCGATCGATACACGTGTATTTCGTTGGGGCGGGGCTAGCTGACGTCCCAACGAAATACACGTGTATGCGAAAAGTCGATAAAAATCGATCAAATCCATATCGGGCCATAACGAAAAGTATTAGGGGGGTTCGAAAGTTCTGTCGTTTCATTTTCAAAAATTTGTAACTTTGCGTCCTATCAGGGAATTTGCTTGCTTGTATTTTTTTTTCAGAAAGCACAAGTCTTTCGCTTTCAAACACTGCTTTTTCAAGCTTCCGCTTTACACTGGATGGAGGTTTGGACCATTTTAATTTAGGTCACCAAAAATCTGGAACGTTGCAGAAAAATCTGAAATTGTCAGCACATTTGTTTTTTGGCCTACTCTTCGCAACTATGAAAAGTTATGTTTCAATTGGCAAATCAATTAATTTTGGCGTTTTCATAATAAACTCGAAATTTATAAGTTTTCACAGAGACGTGCGAACAGCACAAACTTTCCACAATTGCGAAGAGTAAGCCAAAAAAACATAAGTGCTGACAATTTCGGATTTTTCGCAGCGTTCCAGTTTTTTGATGACCTAACTTAAAATGCTCCAAGCTTATGTGGTTACTTTTCCATTTTTATCTGCGCATCCACTGTGAAACAGAAGCTTGACAAAGTAGTGTTCAAAAGCGAAAAATTCATTCTTTCTAATAAAATTACATGCAAGCAAATCTACTGATACAGCGCTAGGTTACAAATTTTTGAAAATGAAACGACATTACTTCCGGACCCATCTAATAGTATATGACATGCTCCCGCCACGAAGTACATGTGTGTTTGGTCCAAATCAGTTCAGAAATAACACCACAGACACATACAGACAAACAGACATTTAGCTTTATACAGGGTGTCCCAAAAAAATGTTTCGAACGTTTGATCGTTAATATCTCTCTTCCCAAGAAGTCTTTTGCCTTGCTTCAGGTACCAATCTGTAGAGCTGGCTTCAACTTAGATTTGCATTATAGAACGAATCACCCATCTCTCTTCATTACTGTAGGATTACGGTAGAAACTTGAAACATGTGGTGTCAATGTGGAAAAAAGCTGCCGTTCCAAAATTTTCAAATAATTGTGAAAACTTGTGTAATAGGGTTTTTATGGACGCTGAGTTCAATACTACTCAATTGTTCACAAGGCTACGAAGTTTTCTAAACGGTGTAATCGCACTTTTTAGGAACATTGAAAAAATGGCCGCTACCTCTTACCTGGCATAACTCTTCAATGAAGCATCATAATAAGTCGGAAACTTTACAGTTATAATCAGCAACTCCAATTAGCCTAGTGTAGAAGCTTTCAGGCTGTTTTGTTTCTTCTCTGAGGCAAAATATGGCCTTTCATTGCTTAAAACCCCCTTTCAAGTTTCTACCGTAATCCTACAGTAATGAAGAGAGATGGGTGATTCGTTCTATAATGCAAATCTAAGTTGAAGCCAGCTCTACAAAACGGTCCCTGAAGCAAGGCAAAAGACTTCTTGGGATGAGAGATATTAACGATCAAACATTCGAAACATTTTTTGGGACACCCTGTATATAAGACTAAGCGCAAATCCGCAAGTTTGTGTGGATTGATGTGAGTTGAGGCAAGCAAAGGCTGCGTTCATACTGATTCCCATGTTCTGGAACTGTTCCCGCACAGTTCTCGCACTGCTGAAACTGTGCGGGAACTGTGCGGGAACAGTTCCAGAACTGTGCTGCATGCGCTGCAGCCGCCCCGCACCGTTTTGAACGGCGGGAGTTGGAGAATTTTGACCGTTCTCGACGGTTTTTCTTCCAGATTTCGCTCATTTTGGCCTTAATTCTCCACCCCGCTTCCCTTTTTGATCAGCAGCACTGCGAACTCGAAGCGGGGTTGAAGAATGAGCGCTTTTCTGCGCCGTGTATTCGGAAAGATGGGCTATCGTGCGATTGTTCATTCTGTCTTCTTGTTTTTTTTGCTCAAAACTACTTCATTTGTTCCAGGAAGCGGCTGCCCAGTTTCCATTACCATCTGCCACGAATTAGAAAGTAGGAGAAATCCTGAAATTGCATGAGTTGGGACTTGTCTCTTGTTTTTCATGATTTTGGGCGTTCTTAGCTTTTCGTTTTTCCATGTCGTTGCTTCTCCGTTCTTTCATCCACCCCGCTTCTCCTAGTGATGAGAAAAGCTGTGAATTTGAAGCGAGGTTGAGGATTGAACGCTGTTCTGCTCCATGTGTCCGGGAATATGGGCCTTCGTGCGCTCGTCCATTCTCTGATCGCTATTTTTGTTCAGACCTACTTCATTTGTTCCAGAGACTTGTCTATTTCAATTTCAATACAGATGCGAGACTACGCAGCGACTTGTTAGTACACATGAATAGGTCTGAACAAAAATAGCGATGAGAGAATGGACGAGCGCACGAAGGCCCATATTCCCGGATACATGGAGCAGAACAGCGTTCAATCCTCAACCCCGCTTCAAATTCACAGCTTTTCTCATCACTAGGAGAAGCGGGGTAGAAGAAAGAACGGAGAAGCAGCGACATGGAAAAACGAACAAGGCTAAAAACGCCCAAAATCATGAAAAACAAGAGACAAGTCCCAACTCATGCAATTTCAGGATTTCTCCTACTCCCTAATTCGTGGCAGATAGCTATGAAAACTGGGCAGCCGCTTCCTGGAACAAATGAAGTAGTTTTGAGCAAAAAACAAGAAGACAGAATGAACAATCGCACGATAGAATACATCTTTCCGAATACACGGCGCAGAAAAGCGCTCATTCTTCAACCCCGCTTCGAGTTCGCAGTGCTGCTAATCAAAAAGGGAAGCGGGGTGGAGGATTAAGGCCAAAATGAGCGAAATCTGGAAGAAAAACCGTTGAGGACGGTCAAAATTCTCCAACTCCCGCCGTTCAAAACGGTGCGGGGCGGCTGCAGCGCATGCAGCACAGTTCTGGAACTGTTCCCGCACAGTTCCCGCACAGTTTCAGCACAGTGCGAGAACTGTGCGGGAACAGTTCCAGAACATGGGAATCAGTATGAACGCAGCCAAAGAGTCTTTTGTTTAAATTCACACGCTCACTACCGCTTCAGCTCATCATTTATCCACCTGTAAATGGGCTGATTTCTTGAATTCTTAGTAGCGCATTCGGTATCCCGCAATTTTTGTAGTTCTAAAGAACAGCGTTTCATGTGGTTTCGATGCTCACGGTGCTCGATGCTTACGCCCAACACTCAATGACCTCCCATTGTCAAAAAAAACCTAGCCCGATATGTGCTCGATGATAGGAAGAGTTCCGCTGCCATCAATTACATCAGTTGTAAGATATTCTTGAATATTTATGTCATGTTCGAAAGCATACATCAGTTCTGAAATTCATGAGCAGATATTAGAATAAGCGTGCCGCAACGCAACTCCACCTCTAATATGACATGGCTAACCTTCAGTATGCTGGAGCTTGCTACGTGTGTCTTATGAAAATCGCACAACAACTGTGACTTATCACCTACCAGAGTTAAATGGCTCTATTCTTTCTTCTCGCGTTCACATCATTTTGAATTGTGGCAAAATAATGCACTTCCATATGAGAACACGCAATTTCAGTAATTCATACAAATGCAGAACATTTGTTTGACGCTTAAACGCTCAATGTTTCTTTTGTGTGCTTGCAACAAAGCTTGCTTCGTCATGATTTCAAACTCCGAAGGAGACCACAATACACAGGAGTAGCAACATCGCAACTTCATACATGAGTGCAGATTGTTGAATAAAATAGTGACTAAAAGTTAACGTTAATGTTTGCGCCAAATTAAACCTCTCCGTGATCACCGAAAAGAAATAGTATAAATGCACAGCATCATGCAATGCTAAATCACTATTGCAGCGGGAATCTATGACATTCGGTTTGTATCCTGGAGTGGGTATACTTGCATGTTTCCCGTTTTCCTTTTCTACTGTACTCATCGCAAACAATGCCTCGGCTTTGGAAGACATCAATTGTTCGATTCCGAGATACCCACCAATGGATGGCGAAATTCGCGTCTTCTTAGCTGAACAAGTTATAGCCTTATTGAAAATGGCCACGGTATGAAGTTGCTATTGCTAATTTTTCAAGGTGTAGCAAAAATTTCTCACAGAATTACACCTGCAAACTGGAAAAGTTAGCTTTTGTCTGGCTTCTAGACATATATCATCGCGGCACAACTTACGACGGGCTGAAAGCATACTTTGATGAAGCAAATGCTTCTGTGCTGGTAAGAATTTATTCCATGTATATCCACTTAACATAATTCTTTAGGAAGTCTCTCAAGCAACCTTCTCGTTCACTAAGCGTGGAACGGAACTTCCCAAAAAGTTGAAGTTGAAACCTCATTTGGACGCGGTGGGTTCCGAGAATCTCTTTACCTCAGTTTTGCGCTGTTAGTCTTGAGCTGTAAGAAAGGAATGGTGCAATCCATACCCATTCCATTTTGTGAAAGTATATCAATAAGCGGCTCAAACCACGCACTTTCTTCACCGAAACGATAAACGTGACTTACTATGTACATGCTACTTTTGCACAGCCTCCGACGCTATTGAAGAGACAAAGATGTTTGTGGGAAAACTAGAGTCTCTTCTGGCAGGTTCTGCATTAGAAAATCAAAATTTCACTCATTCAAAAAATCTTACTGATCTCCCACTCGCACAAGCAGATGCACATCACATCAGCATATGTACTGTTGCTGTAAGTATCTACCCTGACTGAGAATTGAAAAACGCAAAACCCTTGGCTTTACCAAAGCGAGGCTCCGTCTCCACATAGGTATCTGTCAGCGGCGTACAAAAGGATTTCCGTTCGGGGAGGGGGGAGGGCGACAAAAAAAATTTCTGATGAAGGCACACTCCGAAAAAATTTTCAGCATGCTTACTAAAATTTTTGCAGCCCATAACCCCACTATAACCATAATTCCAGCAAAAAGGTGCGCAAAAAAAGGTGAAATTTTTTTGTAAGGTCAAAATGAATTTTCAAAAAAAATTCAAAAAATATATCAATTTCTTACAAGTATAAAGTTACTTGCAGTAAAATATAAGTTACTTGCACATTTTTATAACCCATGCAGGAGACTTTCAGAAATTGCGCGACCCTGCATTAAAACTCTCGTTTTTCGATTTTTAGTGCGGAAAGTACACGCTTGAGCAGAAGGGAGATTCCTGTATTTTTTGGACATAGGCATAAATAATTCAATAATTTGTCTAGAACTTATACGTTTTGGCTTCCAGTTGAGGTGGACAGCAGGTGGTTCAAACGTTCACATACCTTCTTTTACAGTTTTCTTTGTTTTATCGAGTGGTGCTCTAAAACCTGTCAAGAGCTAGAAAGTTTATAACTAAATGTGGTAAGTGTAGTAAATGAAATCAAGTATGAGAAAACCCAGTACATCCTTCCGATTATTCCCACTTCAGAAGGAAGCCAAAAACCTCACGAATTTCAGGTTGTTCGGAGGAGAGTAGTCAAGGAATTTGGATGCGCCTTCATAGACTCTGGTGATCCAAAACCACGAAGAAAACCTAACGTCGCTTGCATTTTTAATCTCATTCCTTGATATAAATCTTTCGACAGTTGTTTATGCAGAAATATTTCAAGTGGAGATTTTCGGTTAACACATTGATGACCGCTTGACACACATGGTATGTCAAGCAATGAGTACCGCGTGGGACCGCTTGACACACCATGTGTGTCAAGGCTTGAATTTTGGTAAAATGACTACTATCCTGAAATAAACTCATTCCATGAGCTTCTTTTTTGCCCAGAATTTAGGGATGACTTCTACCTTTTTTGTTAAACTTTCAGATCTACTGTAGGTGTACTGTTCTTAGTCCCAAAAGGCAGACAACTAAAAATCTGCATGGTCGTCAATGTGTTAACTAACATGCTGTGCGATTTTCGTATACTTCCAATAAAAGCTTTTGTTAGAACATACATTCGTGAGATACATGAAAGATAAGATGGCTGTTGAAGATGTAGTTGGTTATTTTTTCAAGATTATTTGTTCCTTTAAGCAGCTGTTCCTTTAAGCTAAACTTTGGGATCCGTAGTTTATTTGTCATAAAAGATATGCCAGTGTCGAATATTGTTGTGCCAAACAGGTTGTTAGGTGGTCCTTTTATTGTCAGTACTCTTCGGCCTTACGTTTCGACGCTTTCGTCTTCATCAAAGCCCTGGGAATGGTTCAAAGGCCTTCATCCGTAAACTCCAACCCATCAACCGTCTCTACAGCCCTTGCCAGGTTTCGGTGCTTTCCTCAATCTAATGCCATAAGAATTGTGATGGCAAAAGGCATACCAGGTAACCACCGCTTCTTTATATGTCCGTGCCGGATGTAGATGTTCGCGACGGACGATTGAGCTATACTGAACGTGTCACTTAAGCAGTCATAGCTCACATAATGATAAAAACGGAAGGAAATCCGCGGTTATGGATAAGCACTTGTTTTCGTTGTTCATTTCTGGATTTTTTGCAGAAATCCAGAATGATTCTAAGGCTTTCCTAGCCGAGATCTCTTTTTCAAGTGTTAGAATTGTGACTTTGATATCAAAGTCATCTCCACCGTGCAATTCGTGTCTATGTCTGCCAAGCGGCGAAGCCAAGCTCTTGCGCCTTTTATCTGACAAATGCTCTTTGATGCAAATGCCGAGTGTTCTTTCTGTTCCTCAATATACCGTGCATCACATTTCAGACATTTAAGTTGATACACCACTCCCACCTTTGCAAAATCACCCATTCTGCCATGCGGGCATATCACGCATTGCTCCGTATTGCAGTATTGATCGTAGAGCCTGCTACGTACGAGCTTTTTGGTATGATTTTTGATTTTTGATTTTTGGAAAGGTTCACTAACATAATATCATCTGACGTTTCTGCTAATTGTTTCTGAAAGACGTTAGGAAGAATTTTTGCGCTAAGTTTGGCCGTCAAAGGGAAATGCGATAGGAAAGCCATCACTGCTGTTACGCTGCGGAGTGGGGTTAGTGCGATAGCCCACAAGTTGTTGCATGTATAGGCTCAGATTCGTTTGTGTTTTTCAGTTTTACATTGCCTCAATTGAGCTTCTTTCTAAAATTTAGGCATCCTCAGATAAATGCATGCCCTTATTCTTTAGAAACTTAACGGGAGTCATCTTTATATAAAGTTGAATGTCTGTTTGTTTTCTGTCAGTATGTATGTCTGTATGTCTGTCTGTACGTATATAAAATTCCATTTCCTAACCGATCCGGATCAAACTTGGCACATACACACACTTCTGGGCGGGGCGGATGTCGTAGGCTACTTTTCGTTATCAATCGATACCGATCTTATCTATTTTTATCGATTATATTGCAGAGTTTGAGCTACGGGGCTGGGAGTTGGCACAGGGGGGTGAGTGAGCATGGGGAATCTGAATACAATATTAGTTTTCAGAATTATCGATTACTTTTGTCATTACATCGTTTTTTGTTGCAAAGTTTCACCTGTGGGGGGCGGGAGTTTGCACAAAGGTGATCGAGCATGCTGATAACTAATACAACGGGAATAGGGAGTTGGAGTTGGTGTGTAGAAGTGGGCACAGGGAAAGGTTGTACAGGGATAGGGATAAGAGCTTTATCATTGTGTTTTGACAGGGCCGGGCGAAGCCGGGTAAGCCAGCTAGTATTTATATAAGTGTTTCCTACATTTATGCTCTATGCTGCAAGAATGCTCATAAAAATAGAAATGAATGCATGCTAAAGGCAGCGTCCAGGCAGACCTGGACCTATGGGGCTTTTACGTGAAAAGTACTTTTGGGGCCCTAACTAAGGCACTGCCCAAGCGGCAGCTCATGTAGTGCTTTAATGGCTAAAATATTCCCCTCAAAACTGGCCCCGCGAACGTATTCGCAAGGATTCATGGCAGTTTCGGGCACAGGATCCACGCTTTGCGTCATGAATCTATGCGAAACACGGTCGCGGGGCAGTTTCGAGGGGAATATCTCAGCCGCTAGGGCACTACCTGAGCTGCCGGTTGGGCAGTGGCTTAGTTAGGGCCCCAAAAGCACTTTCCACGTAAAATCCCCATAGGTCCAGACTTGCCTGGAAGCTGTCTTTGAGCACAGTGGCGGAAATCTACGACAAAGTGATCAAAACATAGGACTTGCTCGCAATGAGCGCGATTCACTTTATGAGCATTTTTTCAGTATAAATGTAGGAAACACTCAAATTGACTCGTTGACTGTAGTGTTCTTATGTTGAAACCAGGTTAATTGGTGGAACTTTATTGACTCAACGTTTCGAACAATTCGTCTTCGTCAGGAGTCTGAAAAGGATCGTAGGTATTCGTAATTTCACGACACCGTCAAACGTCTCTTCAAACGCTGCCCGTTAAACCTTCCCTGGTGCACTTCCCTGGTGCAATGTACTGAAAAGCAAAACGAGAGTGCCAACCTCAGTCCACCATAAGACCAGTAGCCCGCACGACTGTGACGGACGCAACTGAGTTCATACTCAGCGTGTCAAGTTATACAGTGCTGGCCAAAAGTTTGCAGCCACTTCAGAATTTTGCTATATTTTGATCTTTTTCGCATAGAACGATTCCAAATTATGACATCACGTGCATTTCACACTACTTAACACTACGTCAAGAAGTTTTGCAGTTACATGCACACCGAAGAGGTCTTTGGGGGAAATGGTGAAAACGGCTGAGTTGAGGTTGGTCAAAACTTGCAGCCACTTTCGTCTAATTGTCTTTAAAAACTTGTCACAACTTGTCACTTTCCAGTATGTGGGCTACAGCTGCACTAATAAACCTTGAGATATGCAGTGCAGCCGGCTTTCATCAAACTTTCAAAAAGGAAACTTTACGGGATAAAGTTGCTTGAGCGCGAATTGACCTCAAAAATTGATTAAATCATGAGGTTGTTGAGAAATCATCGGCTGATCTATGCTCCTATGAAAAAGTTGCACCATCTGGACATTTAGTGGCGGTTTGCGAATGTGACAGAAAAGGCGTTATTTGGCATGTTTCAAAAACTACCAACACCACTCAGATTCGGAGCACCTTTCGGCTCAAAAATTGGGCTCAGCGGTCTGAGAAGTTCTCAAACTTCTAGAACATTGCTTTGAGAAAGATGAGCATTGGTCCGCAGCTCGAAGAGTTCTATTGAAAATGTGGAGGCGCTACTGTCAGAGAAAAGTTTTTGCAATTATCACACCTAGAAAATGTTTGATTTGCCAAAGGGATTAATCAATTGTGAAGATTGTTCAAATTTTTTTCTGGCAGTAGCGCCTCCATGTTTTCATTGGAGTTCTCCGAGCTTCGGACCAATGTTCTCTTTGTGAGAGCAATGTTCTAGCCAGGTTTGAGAACTTCTCACAAGGGTAGGATACTTGGATGCCGCGGCCTTTCCTAATGATTTGTATACCAAAAAATGC